AATCTGATTCCCTGGAACATAGCTAGCTTATCAAGGATGGAAAACGCGTAGGTTGAAATTCAATATTGTCAACATTGTTTTTATCAAAACTAGTAGGTGTAGTAACTTGCAGATAAAGATGTGATATAATCTGTTCTGCATCACAGAATTAGAGTTTGATGATTCCTGTTTTATATTCTAAAACTGCACAAGGACTGCTTGTTATTTAAATCCCAAGGTTGTTGTTTCATAGCTTACTGTACTCATGTCCATAATCTGCTAATTTTAATCTTTATTTTTCTTATCAGAAAAGTTTGTTGCCGAGAACAGAAAGTGGGGCACAATACTGGAATCTGACTTCCTATTTTTTCTTTTCCAACTCCAGTTTTCTATGTTAAGGGCTTACTTTGAATGCACTTTGTTATCAAGCATGGCAACCACTATTAGAAGTTTTTTAATATTATGCTGTTAAAATTTAGGAAGAAATGAGAGTAATATAAGCTTCTCTAATCACTATCCTTTTATCTTTTTTCCTGTGGTCCTTGCTCCCAAAATCTGCTTATTTTAGAGAACTGTGACCTTGAGAGAAAGTACCCCTATATTCTTTCTGCAAATACATTTGGCAACAGGACGGAAGTTCAGTGGAGAGTACCTTTCATGTGGCATTTGCTTTTTGTTTTTTTTAGGATTTGGTCTTTGCAATTATACAAAAAAAAATATTCTCTGTGCATATGCCATCTGTATCCAGCTTTTTACTGCAGCAACTATATTGACGATACCAATCACTGGTGCCTAGATATTTTCTAGTTGATGACTTTGTCTTATCAGTCTTTGCTGCTTTGTTTTCTGTCTATCAAAAGTTATTTTCTTTGGTATTCCCTTTTTCTATTTTCTTATGGTCTTAGCCATACTTGTATATTTAAAATACTGAGAAAAGAAGCTTGATATTTAAATGGAGAAGGGTAAAGGGAAGGTCCATCCTAACAATGCCCTAACCGGACCTCAGGTATTTCTCTGTTGTCACAAAAAAATACTGAGAAAAATAATCCTAAAAGGAGCTCTCTTTCATTCCTTGAGAAATACAACTTGCTTCACGGCTAGGAAACCAATAATGCCTTCACTTTTGCTTTCTGATACATTGTTATTAGTGCTTCTGTGTTGCATGTGTACACATTAATTGACACAAATGCAGTCTCTGTCCAGAGAAAGCTAAGGAATTACTCAAATTAGCTAACCAGCAACATTTCTGATGTTGCTATATATATTTGTCCGGTTTAGTAGTATCTATTTAGCTGCCACCTCAAAAAGCTCCATTTTTTCTGAGTAAAAAATTAAGTTGGAGGGAAACAAATTTTCAAGTATTAAGGTGTGATCCAAGATTTGGGCAAGGGTGTTGAAGAAGCTAAATTTAGGATTTCCTTTTTGTTTATTATAGATTATAGGGAAAGTAGAATTTGCGACATGACCAAAAGTACAAACTACTAAGCATATAAAATGAAAATCCTTTTCCTCAAATTTTATTTTCCCCCTTTTGTCCTGTACAGAAGAAACAAGACAGCGAAATACTGGATATGAAAAGTGACTTTTATCTCCTTTCCCTTTTTCTAAGCATTGAACTAACATCTTTGTTCCTTTTCCTTCCCTGCAGAAAGAAGAATTTCAGCATACAGCCTATGCAACAAATGCATATGTCACAGCAGGACCTCTGGCAAAGCAAGTATTGCAAGGTAAGTACCCTTCTCTTTCAGATACACAAATATGCAGCAACTCAACCTTCTTTTATTAGCGTGAGGAGAATTTTGTATTGGATAGTGTAGAGAAGAAAGACAAAAGAGCTTTTGGGAATATTTCAGCAATGATTATTCCTTTCTGTTATTAGCGTGAGAAAAGAATGAAGAGACCCTCTATTTGATATTTTCTTATTACTTAAAGGAATTGTCTTAGTTGTGAGAATTCTGAAAAATTCTATTGATTTTCTGTCAGTTTAGTTTGTCAAGTTTTTAGCCAAGTAGTTTCAAAAATGTTTTCCAGCAAAGTTTTTGCCTCATTTAGTATTCAAGCTGAGTTTGAGCTTGGCTTGAAAGAATGCTATAAATCAAGCCCAGGCACAATTTTTTTGGCTAAGCCAGCTATTTATCGTCTCTGTTACATACAATCAAAGAAAGGAAAAGGGCTTCAAGTCATCGTAGAGTCCTATAGTTATCTAACTTCTTTTTCTGGTTAACTTTCAGGTAATAAAATTATTAAGGTTGAGATGTCAACTAGACAGTCAAGGACCTCAAGCAGTATGAAATCATCCAAACGAGAAAGATCAACAGGATTGGATGATAAGCTTGACGAGCTGCGAAAGGAACTCGCATCCATCCATGGGGGAATATTCCCTCATTCTGTATTATCTACACAACAAATCAGTACCTTGAGTGGACAGAAACCAAAATCAATTGAAGAGGTGTGTTCCTACTGCTTTGCTTACAGAGTTGATGTTTTAACTTCTAACTTTTGGTGTTCCATTACTTGTTATCTGATTATAGTTTATAAAATCTTCAGAAAAGAGGAATTTGAACTTTTTTACCTCCAATAGTCTGGTATTCCTTTCCATCCATGTCAAAGTAATATTTTTTGATGAAGGCATCCATGTCAAAGTAATCTCTACTTTGCTAAAAGAAAAATCTAGTGACTGGTACTGTTATCCACTAAAATTCTGGACCCCGATTTTACTTAAAACAACAACAACAATACCTAGTGTAATACCACAAGTGGTGTCTGGGGAGGGTAGGATGTATGCAAACTTTACCCTTACCTTTGTGGGGTAGGGAGGCTGGACTCTGCTTTTACTTCTCTCATGAAATGTTTTCTTTTATACTATTCTAAAAATCAAGAAAGAAAGCAATGGCCGCTTCCACAATTTTCCTCAAACGTTCACATTTCTAACGCCTGCTGTAGTAATACTGCCAAATCAAGTAGACATTCATTGAGACAGATTAGTAATATAAAAATGAGTCCCAAGTTGAGCATCTGATGATAAGTGGAGTGTCAAGTAGGAAAGTTCTTACTCTTTGGAGAAATGGACAGTTTTTGAGTATGGCCAAAGAAGGGAAGTAGGACAGTTAAGTCGACATAGAGAGTTCAGATTTTTCAATGGTATTATCTGAGGTCGCAGGAATTTGCAGAGTAATTGAAATCCCTGCATGCTTCATGTGCATGCGACATAGTTATTCCAACGCATGCTCATTTACGGGCCTGTTTAGTAGGTGAGATGTAGAGATGCAATGTTTCTTTAGTTGTGAAAATGTAAACATCCTTCTAGCTAAGAGCTGAGACTGCTATAATTTACACTATCGCATTGATAGCACAGCCTTAGATCTTCTCATGTGATGCAATCATCTGAATACTACTGTGTGTTTTATGCAGTTGGAGAAGATAATTGGCAAGTTGAAGACTGAAAAATACGGAAGCAGAATTCTTGAAGAGATTGCTAATTATGAGTCTGATCCCCAAAAAGATGCAGATGGAAGCAAAGAGACCAAAGGCAATACTGTTAAGAAGTTGAAAACCAAGAAAGCTCTTGTAGTCCTTGAAAGCAGTGAAGATGAAACATGAATTTGTGTTAAATCTTTTTTAGAAATATGATCATACTAGTACTTATTGTTAATTTTGTTGGATCACACTAGATATGTTATTGATCATATAGTACTTGTGCGTAATACAAGTATCTGATGAATGGTGAATGAATCTTTTGCAGGAAATTACTCCAAATGTCCTTGGAAATGGTTGGTCTTGAACTTTTGACCCTCGCTTGTTATATGGATAAACCTTAAAGGTCAAAACTAAAATTTCTTAAATTTAATATTTAGTTCAAGATCATCTACTTCCAAAGTCATTCTTGTAAATTATCCTTCAAACATAGGGAAATTGGTTTTGGCCAAACTTAACCTAGACTAGTTTGCACATATTAGGTTATGATTAAATCACTAGCTTAACTCATTGTGTTCTTTTATGCATAAAAGCACATATTAGGGATCTCAATCATCACGCGGTTGCCTATCAACTCCGACCATCAAAGATATTTGGTAACTCTAGTTATCAAAATTTAAGTAGCATTTTTATAAGACATTCAAGGTTAGAATTAGATAAATCTTTTATAAATTTATATCATCTAATAATCTTATTTTTTTAATCACCAAGTAATTGTCAAAATAATTTTACACATTTAAAATAGTTCAAGTAATTTTACATTAAGATGTGAGAAAGATCATTCAGAGTCAATTTGCATGGAATTTATGTGTTCTTACCATGAGTATAGGGGTGAAGTTTTAGGAGTAATGTTGTTCTTCGAGTAGTGTTCTTTTCTTAAAGTGGAGAGAATCAATTGTTATGGGGGTGAATGATTTAGCACAATCATGGAGAATACCTAAGAAAATTGAAATTCTTTATAATAATAATAAAAAAAACTAAGAAAAATGAAATTTGCACAATTTTGATAATTATATCGCAAATTTGATCAAAGCGTGAGTATATTTTACCCCAATTATTATCAGAGGGTGAATTTAGTCCATTTCACAAAATTTAAGAATAGATTTTAATCTTTTTTCACATTTAAATTTAACTCTATATTGTTGGAAATTACTCTTATTTAATCTTCTATCGTACTTTTAGCTCATAACATTGTCGTCATTCGTCAAACAAACATGCTCTTGAAATTATGAAAACTCATTTCGTGAAATTTAGATGTCCAAATTTCTTAAATAAGAAAATTAAATTTACCCTAATATTCCTTCCATCAATAGTTGTCATGTTTCATTTTTTTAAAAAATTAATTTAATTAGTTTTTATAATTAAATTTAATTAAATTAATTCAATATTTCAAAATTAAAACTTAAATATTCAAAAACTATATAAAATATTATATAAGTTACCATCTTTCTTTTATCAATGTAGTTAAGTTAAAAATATATCTTCAAAGTTACTCATTCTGTACAATACATGGTCAAATTTGACACCAATTTACAACAAAAGGATGTATTTTGTAATTTAATAAGAATGCATAAAGAAGCCATTGATATAGCGAGCAAAAGTGAATATTATCAGCCTTCACCGGTGACGGCAAGAGATCAGATTAGTAGTTTTTGCGTGTAAGATGGAGAAGACGGCGAAGCCAAGGAGCCGGTTGTGTACTCTCTGTAATGAAAAACGCGCCGCCTTGAAACGCCCTAAAACCCTTGAACAAGTACTCTCACGTTACCTCAATTCATTTTCTTTTTTTTTACAGATTTGAAGTGCTAAAATTTGTTATTTATCTGAAAAGATATGCAGGGAGTGCTTTTACACGGTGTTTGAAGATGAGATTCATAGGGTTATTGTGGATAATCAGCTTTTCAAGCCTGGGGAACGCATAGCTATTGGAGCTTCTGGTGGAAAAGGTTTGTGAGCAATTATTTGACAGAATCTGTGCCTTTGTAGACGTTATGTGAACCCTGTTTTAATTTTTTATGACTATTAATGAACTTAGCACAACAATAAAGTCTGCACTAAGTAAAGACTGAAAAACTAAATGACGGATTTAACATAGAAGTATTTGAAAGCTAAAACCTACTAGCAAGTAATGAGCCTCTAAGAACTGAAGTATGAATACAAAAACCTTCGAGGCATTTCCCTGGGAATAATATAGCATCTAAATATATGAAAATCTGAAAAGAGCCTAATACTGCTGGAATGAATCAGTGGAGCTTGTCACTGAATTTATGACTTTTCTTCTTCTAGCCACGTGTTATGTTTCCCTGCTTTCTCAACACTTGCCACGCGGCATGGCAGGCCAAAATGTGCTAAGTAGCTTTAAAGGGTATCCTGTAAGTCTCATTGTCAATTTCCCTAAGCGGAGGACAAGACTAGTATGAGCTATACATTTATAATCATAATGAAATGCTAGAAGTGAAGGAAGTTATTCTAATATAATACTGCAAATATGTAAGCTGATATTGAATCTGAAAACTAGGTTTGAAACTGAAGGTGAAACCTAGTATTTTAGATTATTTATGAAGCTTAGTAGGGACACCCTTCCCTCTGTAATTTTGTTGTAAGTATTACTGGAATACTTTTCTGAGTATTCCTTTTGTTCATAATACAAGTTACCTTTTTCAAAAAAACTGAAGGTGAAAATTGAGTCTTCAAGTTGATAACTGGAAGTCTAGAATTGAAGTTATTTTTTTAGAAGGAATAACTTTTTGAAAAGATCAACACATGATGACCCTACGTACATGAGCATCTAGGAACACACACAGGACTGCTAAATTTGTTGTGGGCCCTCTGATTTTGCTCACTCAATTTCAACTTGTAGGAGGAGCCATTGAGTAGCTCAATCAAACTCAACCTATCTGAGTGCGTTAATGGGGCCTCTGAGTATGCTTATCAAGCTCAACCCATATATGGGGTCATCGAGTAGCTCAATTTGAGTGTGTTAGCACCTGCAAGCATGGGATAGCTAACTCTGGACACCATCGCTCTCATACTCAGGGAGGTTGACTACTTCACCCTCTATGAACGTGATCACATTAATTTGAATCTAACCGAAGGTTTGAGCAATAAAAGCATTTGCACATATGGAGATAATTTCATATATAAGCAATTAACTGGAACACATCATAGAAGTTAATCATTTTCTGTCATTCTGAGTAATTAGCAAACATATGCACATAGCGTTCTTACATGTAAGGCTAACAATTTAAGCACAAAAAATCATATGCTCGCTAGAATAAACATATAGGCTTGGGCCCCCAAGGCCTAGCTCAAGTGGCAAAAGGTGGAGGATTTGTGGCTTAGTTCAAGCCCCACACCATGCAAAGCGAAGCCCGGTATTTAAGTGGAGAAGGGTAGAGGGGCAGGCCCATTATCCACCGAGTTTAGAAGACTGTGATTGGTCCAAAGGGCGGGTCCCAGACGGATTTCTCGGTTATCAAAAATAATAATAATAATAAATAAACATATAGGCTTGGATTATACATCCCATCAAACACTCAATATGAACATTCTGATCTAACCCTTGATTCAGGAAAGAAACCTCAACTTACCTCGAAACAACTGTCCAAGTCTTTTCTCAACAACCTCGTGTAGACATCTCTTCAAAATCTATAATTTAAGTGGTTAAAACCATTAACCCAAACTATTCATTCAACCCCATCAAAGTCTCATTTAGCCATTTAGAGCTTATAGTTAATTCCACTATCAACTCCATCAGTTCTTGTATTCTATGGTCATAATACAAAAGATATTAACTTTAATGATAGGGAGTAGAAGAATTTACCTTTATTGTAGTTCTCACAAAACCTTAGGTTTTTCGCACTTGAGTTCCTGAAGATGTTTCTTGGAATCTAGGGATTTTCCAGGTGATGCTAGGAGCATGAAGTGTTGAAAATCTATGTATATAGTCATGTTACTCGCCTTTTGAGTACCTTGAGTGCCTAGGTTGAAACCCTTCCAAAAGATCTTAACCAAGTTCAAAAGTAAAGTATTTTTCTCTCCCGCAAAAAATTTCTCGTGCCCCTGGAGCTGCCTTGGGACTTAACTCTACTGCCCAACTTCTCAGTTCTCTCTAGCAACTCTCTCATGCCATGGAGCTTCCATGGGGCGTAAGTGCACTGTTTAACTTGGACTTGGGACCATTTTTGCTTCTCTCATCCATTGGGCAACTTATTCCATCCAAATCCCTTCCAACTTGTATCCTAGTCATGAAAAATTATTTTAATGGTCCTGTTACTCACTTGTGGACCCGCACATACTTCGCGGTTGACTCTGTCACTCTCTTCAGCTCGTTTTTAGCCCGAGTTACTATCACTTACTACTAATAAACATTGATTTGTACCTTATATTGCAAAACCCCATTAAACTTGTCATGGTTACTATGTCTTCACCGTGGCTATTGTGCTGCTGCTGTAAATGGTCCTACAGTGGAGAGCTTTTCTGTTAACTGGGATGCTTCTCATATGTAATAAACACTGTTTCATTTTAAGCATGCCTTCTTCCTTTGTGATGGAATTAATCTCAGCTGTTATGGTAATCGGTTTATTTGCAGATTCAACAGTACTTGCTTATGTAATGTCAGAGTTGAACCGTAGACACAACTATGGATTGGATCTCTTCTTACTATCAGTGGATGAAGGCATAACTGGTTACAGGGATGATTCTCTTGAAACAGTCAAAAGAAATGAAATACAGGCAGGGAAAAAATCTTGTTAAGCTGTCAGTTTGAATCCTAGGTCTCGTTAAATAACTACTAACTCTGTGAACTCTCCTATGTTTCCTTTCATCTTTATCTTTGACTTTTGTTGCTAACTTGTGAGAGAAAAACTGCACGAACGCCAGCTTATGTCACTTGTTTGTTTGTTTTTAAGTTGACCAACACAGTGTGTGTATATCTTGGGATATGGCTTGTCTTAGCCCTCTTGTGCTAGATGCTACAATGCTTTGATGGAGAAGAGGAATGGAACCTTGTCTATTGTAAGCCATAGATCCTAAACTAGTCCGAATGAACTTCAAATATGAATATTGCAGTTGAATCATCAACCCATCTTTTCTTGGCCAAGTTTATTTGCAAATACCATCTGTAAAGGTGTTTGGATTACAACCATATTTCCTATATTATTGTCAAACAGCAGAAAAATCCCAAAGTTGTTGCTTACTTCCTTCACCAGCATCTCCGTTTGAACCATCTCATTCAATGCAGCAAGAGCAAGAATGATGTTTCTGTGGTCACAGACGAGACAATGCAAGAATGGTGTCTTGCTCTTTGCAAATGTTCTCTGGCTTATGGAATTATATGTTTTATGATCACAACTGAATATCAGAACTCCATAACTTGTTGATATATGCATAATCCGTTTTCTTTACTAGAATTGCAGGAAATTCGTATATTCGCATTGGCTGATGTACAAATTTTTTGAGTGCTGCTATTTCATATCCCTTTACGGGGCATAGCATTGAGCAGTTACTGAGTGAAAATTGAAACATCATCCCTCTGATGTTTTCTTCTCTCTCTTTTTTCCCCCTCTAAATGACATTGAGGATACCAACTAGTTCGTATTATGGCATAGTCATGTTGGGTAAGCTTGCATTAAGTTCAAAGTTCGCTAGGAGTTTTTCTAAATTCTTGTTATAGATCTGTGTGTCAGTAGAAATGTAAAGAACACCTCTAAGAAATTACCTTTTCCAGAGTTACTTAGTACTTGTGTTGGTGGGAGGTACCCTGTACATCGTAGAATTAGTTGAGGTGCTTTCTTCTGTGATAATTTTCAGTAGTTACTTGAGAGTCTCTTTAGCATCTGTAGTTGTCATTTTTCCAAGTGTCACGGTGTCTTTGCAGCATCTATAGTTTCTACACTAGATGAGTTTGATTTTTTAACTTGCAAATTTTTAACCTCTATATCTTCTCAATTTATTATGACCATGTCATTGCTATCTTCTCCTTGCAGTATGGACTTCCTTTAAAAGTAGTTTCCTACAGTGAATTGTATGGGTGGACAATGGATGAAATAGTGAAATTGATAGGCTTGAAGAACAACTGCACATTTTGTGGTGTTTTTCGTCGGCAGGTAATTCGACACACTTGCCTTTGAGTTTGAGGATTTTTTTTGGATAAATGTCTCCAACATCTGGCACACAGTTTGCACCTTCCCAGCAAATCTCTATGTAATATATGTTGTTGCACAAAAGCTGTATGCAAGAGAACAAAACAGCTTTTGAAATATTTTGGAACTCTACTCTGTGGCTGACATAATCTTCTGTTTCTTGCTATGGAAGTGACCAAGCTTAGTTCAGTGTTTAGAAGTGTCTTTCTTTGCATGCTTCTTGTAGTAAATATGTTTGGAATGCTTTCTTTTCCACTTACAGTTGCAGTTTCATGGTACTTCTTTGAAACTGGTAATATAGAGATCATATTGATTAGTTTTTGTTTTGTAAGGCCCTTGATCGAGGTTCTGCACTGCTAAAGGTTGACAAGCTCGTTACCGGACATAATGCAGATGACATTGCTGAAACAGTCCTTTTAAATATTTTACGAGGTGATATTGCAAGGTAAAAATAACTGTAATTTAGTTCTCTTGTATGATTCTCTTCCTTCTTTTCTTCCCCAAATTATTGACAGGTTTCTTACCTCTAACAAACCAGATTGGGTAGATGCACATCGATAATTACCGGAGAAGATGGGCCAATACCGAGATGCAAGCCCTTCAAATACACTTATGAGAAGGAAATTGTCATATATCCGTTTCTTTGATAGTATTTTTTTTTGTTTGATGACAAGGGAAACCCGTAGCCGCTAACCTTTGGGTGCGCACAGGGTAAAACCCCCGCTCCTATGCAATAGCTCGCAAACCACATAGGAGAGGTAACCCGCACTAGGCAAGCCCGGTGCGACGAGCTCGACCTAGAAGGCAAACCCCTTGCTTTCGCTAGCAAGGGGTTTCGAACTTGAGAACTCCAACATGGAAGTCCCAAGCCCAAACCACTGGGCCACCCCGAAGGGGTTTCTTTGATAGTATTTTATTGGGCTACCCCTTACTATATACCCCAAATGACTGCATCTTCCCTAGTAAAACATAGCTTTCTGATTGTGATCACTTATGACTGTCCTGCCTTAACTTGCTGTTACGTATGCATACTTTAAAAAGCTGGACTACTTCTCTACAGAATGTAAGTATGTTTTCTTTCCTTCAACTTCCAGTACGAGGACTAGGATTTCTGGTCTTCTTTATTTGATGTTAGGATATTTACATTCTCCTTGTTGAAGCACTTTAATGTGTATTGTGTTCATGTCTGTCCACTTTAGTCTCTCTCTTTCCTCCCATTACACTGGAAAGAGGCCCAGGTGTTGTGAAAGAGGTGGGGTATGAAATAATATGAACGTGTTAAAATTGCTACGTCTTAGAATTAGTTCAATATTAAAATTTTCTCTCGGTATCTGAAAGGAAATAATATTTCAATTCAATGTAGAAAGCTGGGTAGAGAAATTATCTTGAATTCATGAACAAGAACTTTAAATCCGTTTCTAGTATACATCAGAAAATAGATCAGGAATGAAAGAGAAACTAAATTGTTGGCTTCATGGTGTTGTACTTTTCAAGAGAATAATCCCCAAAAGCAAAGGTTGCTTGCTGACTTATGGCTAAACATCTGCTCATTCTATATGCCTATATTGAACAAATTGATAGTCCTATACCATATACTATCTACATTGCAAAAATACACTTCAAAAATAATTTGTCTAGAATAACTGTAACAGCAGCATTTGAACTACTCAGAAACTCCCTCCATCCTACTCTGATTGACCTAGTTCTTTGCTTAGTCCATACCAAAAAGTCGACTTCTTTGTTAACCATTATAAACATTTTTTTTCCAAAGATCCAACAATATAGACCTATACTACCTTGTATTGTTCCATAATGAACGTGATATTTTTCAACCAACAGTTCCATTTCTTCGAACTATTATTTTAAACTTTTCTTATCAATCTCAGTAATAATATATCCACACTATTTTACTCTTAAGCTTTGCGAGTGTTAACCTAATCAATTAGAATGGGACAGAGAAAGTAGTAATTTGGATGTTTTTAATCTGCAACTGGCTCCATTATGCATCGTTCTTGCATTTAAACAACATTACATGATCCTCAATGACCATTTTTTTTGTATGACGACTTCTCAATTGTCTGATATATTTTTTTTATTGATGAAGTTAAAATATTTGAAATTTTACTAATGACAGGCCTTTGCCCATCTATCTATTAAGGTTTTACTTTTCATTCCCGGTTACGGGACATTTCTTTTACATAGATATTCTGAAGATCTGAGCACTCAATGTCCTTAGGCTTCATCTCCACTGCACGCGTCAAATGGATTTTCAATATAATTTTCTGGAGCAAGTGCTTGTTTCCTTTATTGTGTTGATACCATATGATCCCAACACTGGAATTGTCTGACTGATTTGTTTTGGCTTTGTGTCATATCCTTGTGCTTCATCCTAAAAAGTTAGCTGTATGAAAATGCAGGTATTTATTCCCCCAATGCGTACCGCGGATTTGCTCGTGAGTTCATTAAAGATTTAGAAAGGATGAGGTAGTTCCCAGTTGAAATTCTTCCCAAAAAAGATTTCTTCAGACAATTATCTAGTATGAGTAGTCTTTGCAAATTACTTTTGTTCTTAATAAATTTCTAATTTATCATGATGACAGACCAAGAGCCATTCTTGACATTATCAAATCAGGTGAAGACTTTCGGATCTCCACCTCTACAAAAATGCCAGAACAAGGAATCTGTGAAAGATGTGGTTATATATCCAGCCAGGTAAAGATGATTCTTCTACTGCCTTGCATTTTGCCATATTCGAGTTCTAGCATCTATGTTGAAGCATAATTTGTTCTACGGATCAGTATGATTTCCCTTTACTGGTTATTACTTCCCCAAGATGTTAATGATGTCATTGTAGTATGATCCATTTGTCTCCTATGCAATAGCAAACTTGACTGGTTAAAGTTTCTCCTGAAGAATTGTTAATCCGAGTTGAGATAGACCTACTGCTGTTGCTCTCATGTGACAGATTCTTTTGTCATCAACTGTCCTTTAGCTTATCAGCTTGCGAAGATCTTTTGACTTGTTTTTCATCGTTTTATTGTCTTTTATATTTATTGAATTTACTTTTCCTTCTTGTTGGATGTTATAAATGATGTTTGTTCTTACTACTAACGTATTCTTGTACAGAATAGGCTACTTGTTAGTACTTGCATTCATTTAACTGAATGGTCCGTTTCTTGTATAATTATGCAGAAATGGTGCAAAGCATGTGTCTTGCTCGAGGGCCTCAATCGTGGTTTACCCAAATTAGGCATAGGGCGGAGTCGGGGGATCAATAGCGAACATAATACGAACACGAAACAAGCTAATGGAACACAAAGTTTACAAAGCAAGCAATGTGGAAGTTTGGACTTCTGAATTCTCATGTAGCTGCATAAATCCAGTGAAAAGGGCTTTAATTAGAAGTGTCATATTATCTACGTAGCTTTATGTATTTACGGAGGTAGAAGCAAAACTACAAACTCCAAATCTGACTACATTTGAACCCAATGTATTGAATTGTGAATGGAACTTGATCACCACCGTCATAGAATAGTCTATAAAGTAGCTCAAATAGACATGTACTTTCTTCCGTGTGACTAAACAGAGATAGTAAGAATACTGAGAGAACGTCTGGGGCTTCTACAGATGCTTCTCATCGTAACACTTCAGCAGTATGAGTTAGAACCCTCATTTACGAAAGAAATTCAGGCAGTTACAAAATGTACAACCGAGATGAGCTAAAATACATGCATAAGCAACATCAGAGTCTTCTTCAGCAAATGTGACTTCCTGCGTAGCACCTTCATGATACTGTTTCCTGCACAGCCCATCACAAGCTCCATAAAATTACACGAAAATATATCACAGATATATCCAAGAAGCTTAATCCTGGGGCATTCATGACAGCAAACTACAGTTGAGCAGTTTCAAATGCAAGCGTATTTTGACCCACACAATACTATCAGCTAATTAGATGCCCAATGTGTTTGGATCCACTTGAGGCAACATCCCCTTTAGAAATACCAAGCTAAAGCAATTTTGTGACGTGCAATATACCGCATAATGAGAAGTCAATATATGAGAGATATAATCATATTACTCTCCTGGATTAGTAGTACACCTCACTTTGCATCAACATAATACCCAGCTCACTATGGGATCGGGGAGTGTATGATACACACAGACCTTACCCCCTACCTTTGTGAGGTAGAGAGGTTTCCGATAGACCATCAGCTCAAGGAAATGTAATCAAAGCAGCGATTGAAAGGAAAATAACAACAGAACAGTAAGATAAACAAACGAAATGAAGCAACATGTAATAGTAAAAATGAAGAGTAAGATGCTATGCGAATACTAAATAAAGAGAAGAGGAGACTAGCCCCATGCCTATCCCACAGAAAGTACGACAACACTCGGCTACCCACTACACTCCTACCCTAATCCTCAACATTTAAATCTTCCTATCTAGGGTCATATCCTCAATAGGCTAAAGATATGTCCTGTTCTATCTAATCACCCCTCCTCGTTTTCTTCGACCTACCACTACCTCGCCCAAAACCAATTATAACCTACCTCTCACACCTCCTTACTAGTGAATCCATGCAACTCCTCTTCACATGCTTTTCTATTGACTACAAAAATCAATAAACTAGCCAGACTTTTCTCATCGATTTTGGTTAAAGTACCCAAAATCGGTTGACCAAATCGGACACGGATCCCACAGCCACACCCACACCCATGTCTTGTCGACACAGGTGCGGCACCAAAAATGAAGAGTTCGAGCAACTTAGGTGGACTCATGCTAATTAGATGTTACATTACCTTTTTTTAGTTCAAATGTATGATATTAAATACTCCCTCTAGGCTCTACCCCAATTTATGTGGTCTGGTCGGTTGGAATCTCGAGATTCAAACTTCTAAACTTTGGTCATGATTTCGGCATAGAAGCTTTAAGTTTTTTAAAATAAAATTTACATATTTGAAAACTACATAAAAGTAGTATAAATCACAATAATTAACAACTTAAAATATCTAAAAGGCATATAAAGAAATATCGGTCAAAGAAGAACTTGGTAGACTCTCGAAATTCCAGTTGTGCCACATAAATTGGTACAAGGGAGTAATGTTTTGTAAAATATTACACTTCTTATTTCTGAACTTTGTAAGCTTAGAAGATAGAACCCCAATATGTGTTGCTTCTATCATTATAAAGTGCTACTAATAGTAAACCTGGTAGAAGCAGTCTTTTGAAGGAAGATACTGCAGCCAGACAGCACTATTAATCTAAAAAAATTAGCAGACAGACTCCACGTTAACACTATTGATACAACTACATTGGGGGAAGCAAGTCCAAAATATGTCGGAATTGACCAATTCAGCAATTGAATGCTCCAAACAAATTTCAAGGATAGCTAGCTGTAACACAGAAACAACACTCAAATCTTTCATCACATTCCATTGAATATCATAGAATTAGCACCAACTTTTAATGAAGAATAGGTGTACCACTTTGCTCATCCAACAATGGTATAGCATAGTGAGCTTGCTCAATCACTCTTATAAGTACAACTTCTTTTACTCTGACCCATAAGTAAGGGCACAACCACAAGATAACAGCTTCACCTATACTAATCTGTTCGACATCTTTCCTACCAAATTCTAGGCATGACACAGATTTCATCTACTTAATACTGGCAATGATACTTTTACTTTCATCTAAAAAAACAGAGAAGATTTGTTCTTGCTTTAAAGAGGAGAAAAAAAAGAAATGACTGGATTAATAGCTAGAAGTTCTTGACAGAAGAACCATTAGCAGCAGTACTTATACATGCATCAAAATTACAAAAATATAACCTTCAAAGCACTTACATGAATAAGAAAGAAAAGATAATGTGTGTTTTATATAACATGAGAGGCCAAGGAAGTAACAACTTCAATACCTTTGATTTGATAGCAATTCCTCATCATGCCAATGCCAAATTCTACTCACTAGGACTGGGATCAATAACCAATATAGCTTGGATCTCCAAGATACTCAGCAATTTGTTCAAGTCGCACTTTGAGTAACTCCTTTGTATCACCATCTCGGATAATTCCAGTCTCCTTCTCACTATCCTTCTCAACCAAGTGGCCATACACACCTTTGTTCCTACCATACAGAACAAGAACTGGACCACCACGCTTAGGAAGAGCCGTCTCAAGCAATTCCTGATCCACACCTTGTATCAACTCCCTAGTTTCATCCATACATATATCACAACTTGTCGGTCCAACCACATCCATAATTTCTCCTTTCTTTAGATACAATCTTCCCTTTTTCAAATCCTTACTTACAATCCTAACTCTGATGTGACTAGCAAGCCAAGATACTTTATCACTCCTTTCATCTCTACTTCTTCTGCTTTCCTTTTTACTCTCCGTTGTTGCTTCATCTCTACTTCTACCTCCAGATGACTGTTTCCTAACCCCATCAAGTTTACTCTTTTCTTCTCTAATCTTCAATTCTAACAACTTCTTCAAACACCTCTCCTCCTCCACTGAACCCAATTCAGCCAAGTCTCGTGCTTGAAGCTTCACCTCTTTGTCCGCAAGCTTTAAGATCACCAAATCTCCACTGCTATTCACCTCCAAAACTTCTCCTTTCATTCCCATTTCCTTTCCTCTCACTACCCTCACTTTCTTCCCTACATATAATCCATTCCCTCCTTTTTCTCTATCTATCTTCTCAATACTACCATCACTATGATCTACTTTAACACCATCTTCACTCTTCTTTTTAATCGATTTAATAGCCCCTTCACCCTTACTGCTAGGTTTTGGTACTTCAGGTATGAATCCAATCCCTTCTTTAGCTGTCCACTTTTTATACTCAACAACTTTAACATCCTCTTTCGCGTTCCGACCAATCCCTCTACCTTCAACCCACCCATAACCCTTCAACAAAGCAGCCCCAAATCCCTCCACTGGCATATCAGTATATTCATCAATCCCGTTATGCTCTGGCAACCTCTTCAAATCTTCCTTAAACTTATGCAACATCGGATCAATCATCTGTTTAGGGTTTGAGTTCGTGTTAGGGTTAGGGTTAGGATCAGGATTAGGGTTTTCTGATTGGCGGACATTGAGGCCGTAAGAGATTCCATCTGACGCCGGTTCGACACCAGCGCCAGAGTCAAGTTCGAATTGAAGTGGTTGATCGGCAGCAGAAGCATCCGCTTGGAGAGGGACTTCGAGATTTTTCATCCGTTTGATAGGGCGCCATTCGTTCTGCTTTGGAGGTATTATGAGTGTGTCTTTGGTGGAACTAGCTGCAGCTTTGGAAGGGTCGAATTCCGTGACGTACTCTTTTTCGACGGGGTTTGAGGAGTTGCGGGGATCGTCGCCGGTGAAGGTCTGAGAAGACGGATGCTTCTTCAGGTTTGAAGATGGCTTTGAAGAGAGAGAAAACGAGAGCTTCATCGTCGCCGGAAAAGGAGACAGCGACGGGAAACTTCAACGTCGGCGAATTTGCCGGTATTGGGTAGAAGCCGAGCTAAGGACTTCCGTACCGGAAATCGAGAAGGGTATAGTAGTAATAAAAAATAGAAGAATGATCAATGCGAGTATACTTGCTCGGAAGGTGATAAATAAATACTGAGTTCATCTTAAGTAGAAAAAGAATTATTATAATTTTAAATTGAAAGTATATTAAAATATTCTTTTAGCTTATTGTATTAAAATTAAAAAGTTGTATAAAGAAAAAAAAATTAAACAAAAGCTACAAAAATTAAGTGACACTATTCATAATCTTACGTACTCAAAAAACTTACTAGCATTATGTTTCTAAGTTGACCAAGGGTCTTAATAAATTTTGTACTAAGTACATTAATTAAAGGTAGATTTAAAGATGTATAATTATTGTAACACGATAATGATGAGGCAGATTGTGGGAAGGATTGAAGATCTAAATAGATTGTTTCTTGGCTTTTTTTTTAACATGACATTTTCATCTTATTTATTTTTTAGGTTCAATTGTTTTTCTGGAGTTCATTCATAGTAAGAGAAAGTCTCCTCCAACTCTGCTTTATTCTGACTATTCATGTAGTTACTATTAGTATTCAACTTTCAAGCATTATCTTTTAGTTTGTTTCATAAAATATGAAGTTGCTCGTGACAAGTTTCTGATGGTGGATCATAAAGTAAATCATCAAAGTTGTTGGACGTCTTGCCCATACAAACTTTAACTTTGTAGAAGATTTGATAACATTTTTATCAATGGAAGAGTTTACAGGTCGTATTTTTTGGTGCACCTAACTTTTCAAAATTTTCAAAATATAATGTTGAGGGTAACCTATTAGAATAAATAGTGAGCTTAGTTGTTCGGAGTAGATTTTTGTCATTATAAGAGATTACATAGTATAGAGGTACTCAAAAGGATAATCTCATAGCTCTGAATAGCCTGTTTCATATTTCTTTGACAGTATTATTACTATTGAAGATATACTCTATAGTCTCATCTCATTCTTTAGGTCTCTGCTGCAACAACAAAGTGAGATTATATCAATTCCAAATCTCAATAGAGCAAAGTCCATAAGAAGAATTTTGTTGACAAGCTTCCCAATATGATTAAAAAATTAACTTGAATAACTCGAGTATAATCTCAAAAAGAAAAATCAGTTAAACAAAATAAAAAACTTTTATGCGTATATTTATTTGATTTAAAAAAAACATTAAAATATAAATTAAAAAAATATTTTCTCATAATTTTTAAATACTTGTTCATGCTTTAATATATTAGAAGTTTTTATGAAGTATGAAATTGATATTAGAAAAAATAAAAAAGTAAGAGTTTATTTTTTTAATTAGAAAACAAGTAAACATATAATTTTAATATTAGTTCGAGCTTGGACTACTAACAAACAACAACATATTCAGTGAAATCTTACTAAGTGGATTGAAAAGGGTAGAGAGACTATTATCGAAAGATCATCGGCTCAAGTGCATCAAACTCTAGAAGAAGAAAATAATTAAAAAGACACAACAATTAATAAGAAGAGCATAGTGAAGTCTACATGAAAGACACAATAACAACAACCAAATAATGTGATAATCTAAACACAATAAATAACACATGGCAAGAACTAAAAAGTACGACTAGTACTACGGCATGCACTAACAAATCTAAACCTTCGCAAAGTAAGACAACACTCTATCCTTATTAACTTTCTACCTTAATGAGTGACATTCATTCATTCTTATCTAAAGTCATATCCTCAATAATATGAAGTTGTAATGTTGTGTCATGTTCTGTCAAATCATATTTTCTCAATACTTCTTACTCCTACCTCTACCCTTTCGCGTACCCTACAACCAACCTTTCGCACCTTCTCATTGGAGCATTAACAAACTTCCTCTCTACATGCTCCAATTATTTCAATATCGCTTCTCTCATCTTGCTCGCCATAAAAGTCACTTCCACTTTCTTCCAGATAATCTCATTACTAATTTTGTCGATCCTAATTCAATGAGCAAAACAAATTAAAATGGATAAGGTAATAATTGTGCCTCATGTAACATACATTTTTTCTAATTTAAGATTAAAAAAAGAATTATTTGTAATATTGCCCTACCAAAAAGAATATACTCCTATTAAATTAAAGAGAAACTCTAACTGATTTTCTTTCTTTTTCCTACCACACAAAAGTCAAAAACTAAAAACACCCTACAAAATGAGAGAAACAAAAAACACTTGAAGCATACTGTACAACTCATAAGCAGCTCAGTTTGTTACTTCAGAGTTTCCATATTTCTAAATTCTGATCATCATCAAATATATACACACAAATTTGTGGTCATATAGACAACCACATACACTTTTCAATCAAAATTTCTTCTTAACCCATAATTTATATGTAAAAATCCCAAATCCACTCTTCAATTTCACTATTTCATCTTCTTGATTTGAGAAAATAAAGGGAAAAAATGGAGGGAATTTGTACTAGTTGCTTGTATTCATCAATAACCTCATTATCAATTGAGTACAAAAACAGAAGGAAACTGTTGAATACAGTTAAAAAAAATCGAACTTTATCGACTAGGATTTGTGCAGTAAGTAGTGTTTCTACTGTACAGACTCAGTCGGAGAAAACTGCTTTGCTAGTGAAGGACATTTCTAGGACTAGCGCTTTGGAGCAACTTGATATTGAACGTGGAGTTTGCATTCCATTCCGGAAGTATTCTCCAGAATCTGTATGAGAATTACTTGCTTCCTAGTTTTTTTGGGTTTTTTTGTTTGTATATTGTTTGCTGGAAAATTGATTTGGGGGTATGTGAATAGCATCCTGGTAGTTATTTTGCTAGTTTTCTTTGATAATTTTTGTGGGTTTGTGCAGAAAATCAAGTTTTTATTATGTCGAATTAGTTTTGCCTAAGAAGTCTGGAACATGTAAATAAATTCCTAGATAGTTATTTGTTCTCTCTTGGTTATTTTTTTGGGTATATATTGGAGAATTGAATTTGTAATGTGTGATTAACATCCCTGAGATTATTTGAGTTCTTTGGTAACTTTTGTTGGTTTATGGGCAAGTTAAGTGTGTAGTATGTGAGTTACTTCTCAATTATTTGCTATATTATTGGTTAAATTTTTGTGGATGTATTGGAAAGTTAAGTTCATTTTTATATGGGTTTATTTGAAATTTGTGTTTTTGATGCAAACATTGGGTTTTTAGGTGAGAAACAAGGTGCTAGAGTCAAGAGGACAGATTTTTTCTTTGGTTGGTAGAGGAATAGAGATTGTTTGGAGTTTGGGGATTTACTGGACTACACTGGTGTATGATTATTTGGTGGGTCGTGACGAAGAAGTTGTTCCTTTCCGTGCTCGGCAGCTGAGGAAGTTGTTGTGTGATTTGGGACCTTCTTTCATCAAAGCAGGACAGGTTTGGTGTTTTTAAATTTCTGAAGTTCAAGAACAATTGGTTGTTATATTTTTTTTTGATAAGATAAGTGAATTTATTGTTATATTTTTTGTGGATGAGTATTGCTCTAATTGGAAATTTTAGACTTTGGAATCTTAAACTGGAAAATGATTCTGTATTAGCGTGTATAGCCAAAGAAGATATATAATGCCAGTTAACCATGAAACAAACTGTTATCAGAAGAATATACATTGTGCAAACATAGAGTAGAAGACTGTAGAAATGCTATAAATTGCTGAAATTGTGTAGTAAAGAAGTATTTCACGCTCCATTGGCTGGAAATTCCTATAGACAGTAAAAGTTACTTTAGGATGACTCAGCAACATGATTTTAAGTCTGATATCCTCTTTACTAGTGTTCGTCGTTTTTTGGGCACAAACAGAAGTCTTTTATTGGATCACTATTATGTGCACATCGACTGAAAATGGTGAAACCTTCAGTGGCTTATTACTATACCTCCAAACACATTTAGCACTTCTAAGGGTCATTGCAGAAATAAATATTGCTTAATGAATACACGTTAATCCTAACTTTAGAGGAACAATGGAACATTTCTATTTTACAGAGATATAGTCAATACCAGTGACAATTGGAAGAGCTAGACGCATTGGCAAAGGGTGCAACTAAATATTAAGAAATTAAACCTCTTTGGTAAAATTGAGTTCAAATTAATGCTTCCTGGTCATCTTATATTTCTTGTACAAACATAACATGTGATAATTTCCAAGAATGTGCACTTAGGCTTAGATGTAATTTCCTTTTGATTTTGCTGTTCTCAGCAGCAATAGTTATTTGTTTATTGTATTGTTTTCTCTGCAGGCAAAGGTATATTATTTAAATAGACTTACAACTCTTTTTGCTTAGCTCTGTTTTGTTGGTTTTTATAAAAGATGGTGGTGCAGCAAAAATATTAAAAGTCATTAAAATTGTCTTAAAAACAGAAAATCTGCAGAATAAAATTCAAAAACCTAAATTATCTCAACTAAATTATCCAACTAAATTTAAGCAAAGACTCATCCTGCAACTAACCACTTAATATTCTAGTAAATATGTAGTAACAAAAACAATTTTCAACACTCCTCCTTTGCTTCTGTTGCTGCAATTTTAAAAAGTTGCTCCTCAATTTTGTTTCTGTTGTTCGTGCTTTAGGATTGTTTTGAGCATCTATGAATTTTCATATACTTTTGTAACCCGACTATTTCTTCTTCCTTTTTTTTTTTTTTTGAAATTGGTAACTTTTTATATTCCTCAGCATTAAGGGCTATGCTGGCCACCTCCAAAAAAAAAACTGTTACAACAAAAGGAAAAGACTAAAAAGAAATACTTACAGAGATCCTATGAAGTCCACTAATTGGATCTCCTCTTCTATATCCTGTTCTTTACACCAAAAACCTAAAGTAGTAATTACTTTCCATTTGATCTTCTGTATTGTACACTCCTTTCCTTCAAAAATTCTCTGATTCCTTTCTTTCCATATAATCCACCATATACATGCTGGAACTGTTCTCCACCATCTTTTCTGACTTTTGCTGCCTCCCCTTTTGATCCAGCAGCTAAGAAGGTCAGAGGTGTGTTCAGGCATAGTCCAATATTCATTGGCTATGCTTGTAAACAGAGCCCACACCTGAGCAGTTACCTTACAGTGCATGAA